CTGCACATCAGACAACAGGATACAGCAGATGGATGGTTACAGTATTATGCGGTCAAAAAATTATGCCTTTCCTAGCGTACTATGCAGAGTACATGTCTCCTGATTACATGTGGCTGTTAGCTGTTGCCATGACACAGGAAAACTGACAACAAAACAAAGGGTGGGGCTTACTTACAGAGCAACTGTCATACAGAAAAACAGGTGCAATATCACAAAGGCCACTAGATGGCAGCATAGGAACTAGACATATAAAAACGTCCATAGGAAAAGGTATAGGGAAAACAATCTATATAAACCTTCTATCTAAATAAACTTCTATGCCCCATTGGGGCGGCACAAGTAACATCTTATAGAATTCATTGGTATATCCGTCTGGGCCTGGAGATTTACCATTGGAGGAGGCCCCAAGGGCTTTCGTGATCTCCTCCATGGAAATATTTGCATTCAAAAGTGAGAGATCCTCGCTCGAGAGGGTAGGTAATGTCACTGACTTCAAGAAGAGATCTCCCAACTCCATGTTCATAGGGGTGGCTGAATATAGGTTATGATAGAATTTCTCAAATATCTTATTGATATCTCGCGGGTCTGATGATATATCACCAGTCTCGGAGCGAAGGGAAGATACATGGGATTTCATGAGGCGTTGCCTGGTTAAATTTGCTAGTAATTTGCCTGATTTGTTACCATACTTGTGAAAAGCTAGTTTAGATTGGAAATGGCCGTACAAATATTGCTGTTTGGACCACCATTCAAAGTCCAGTTTCACTTTTTGCCATTGTTCTCTGAATGGTGCAGTCGGGTTTGTCGAATAGTTAATTTGGGCTTGGCAAAGGGAAACACTTGCTCTAGTGAATTTAACTTTCGGATTTTTCTTTTTGGCTGCTACATAGGAAATTACTTTGCCCCTTAGGACGGCTTTTGCCATTTCCCAGAATAGATTTGGGGTGGATATATGATCCTTGTTGAAGGATTCATATTCCCGCCATGTCTCTATCAGCATGGCCTTAAGCAAAGGATCGGAGTGTAGATGGGAAGGGAAGCGCCATATAAAGGCGTTCCCTCTAGGACATGAGGAGTGTAGTTGGAACAGGATTGCCACCCCAGACCTTCTACCCACGGCGGGTGAGCTGACCACTTCACCTACCCATAGTTTACACAGTCTGTCAATGTCCGCCGTGGGAAGATGTGTCTCCTGTAAGAGTACAATGTCAGGTTTCAACTTTTGTTTGGCTGGTGACCTAAGTCCATTGACATTCCAGGAGATCAGTTTCATATTAGAGTGGATCTAAGAAGGATTATATCAGACATAAGAAAAAAACATGTTAGTAAGGAGAGCATTAGTGCGTCTAAGAAGAACATTTGCATGAGGGCATACGTTGGAGGAAGAATCTGGACTGCATATTCTTGACAAAGATGCAGGAATATCAATGAGGTAGTCGAACCTTGTCTATCCGAGCTACCAGAGTTAAACACATCACATTCTAGCAAGTAAATAGCTACCTGTGTCCAAAATCGGGGCAACGAGGAGCATGGTGGTATCACAGTATGCGGACCAGAGTATTCGTTCGAACAACAAGTAACAAACAACAGCAGCAGCAACCACGCTGCAAAAAAAAAAAAGCATAACATCTATAACAAATGGGCAGCCTCACTGCAGTCTTGCGGGCAGGTGTGGTGGGTCTCTGGGGACGAGGTGATCGGACGCCATCTGGAAGGAGAGCCGAAGGTTCCATGCGGTCTAGGAACGTGTGTGCCTCGGCAGGATCCTGGAATGATTTTTGTGAGCCGTCTACTGATTGGAATCTTAGGATTGCTGGGTAGACGAAGGTAAATCTAACTCTCTTCTGGTACAGGAGCGAGCAAACTTTACTGAACGCCTTACGTTTTTTGGTAACATCTGCCGAGTAGTCCACAAATATGAGAAACCGGTGTCCATCCACGAAGAGCTCCTTCTTGGCGCGAAAGGCCTGAAGTATCGCCATGCGGTCATTATAATCCAGGTAGCGAGCGATAACTTGTCTCGGAGCCTTCCGTTCTGGGTTAGCGGGTCCCACGCGGTGAGCCCTCTCCACCTTGCAGTTCGGGTTTAGGCCGAGGAGATCTGGTATATTATGAGCGCAGATGGACTGCAATAGCGATGGGCGGTATGATTCTGGCAGGCCAACGATCCTCACATTGTTTCGACGTGAGCGATTTTCTAGGTCGTCGACTCGCTCTTGCAGGATTTTAATATTTTGCTGGGCCGAATCCAGTTGTGATAGGGATGAGCCAACCCCCTCCTCTAGGGCGACAATGCGGGTTTCGGCCTCGGAGATCCTCTGGGTCTGTTGCATGAGATCATGTGGAAGGGACTGGATACCCTTGGAAACCACTTTGTGAACCACGTCTTGTATGGTGGGGCGAAGCAGCTTCGCTACTTCTGCCGCAATTCTGCTTGAATCAGAAGTTGTTGGCATGTCATCCTCCGATGATAAACTGCCATCCCTTAGGTCGGGCGTCACGGCCATTTTGGGTTGATTTTGCGCTGTCTTGATCCGTGTCTGAGTCCCTTTGGGGCGAGGTCCGGCTCGGCGTTTGGCAAGGAATTTATCCATATGCCCACCTGTCCACCTGCCCAGGCGAGTAGTAGTAGTATGAGAAGGTGTGGTTGGGCCAACTCAGGTAAGCTGATATATGGTTTTATATGCGGTTTGTGCCCTGGCAGTGCGGGAGCTCTTCACTCTGCGTCCACTACATCAGGCGCCGGAACCGGAAGTCCAGTAATATATTATACAGCAATACATAATAATGCCATCAGCTATAGATAAGTACAAATCTCAGCAATACATTATACAGCAATTTAGAATACCACCAGCTATAGATGACTACAAAGCCCAGCAATACAATTATAGAGCAATGCCACATGGCAACCGGCTATAGAGGACTACAAATCCCAGCAATACCTCATACAACAATGCCAAATGGCAACCAGCTATAACTGACTACAAATTACTGAAATGTATTATACATCAATGCAGAATAATAGTAATAGTTGCTGGGATTTGTAGTTCTTTACAGCTGGTTGCCATTCAACATTGCTGTATAATGTATTGCTGGGATTTGTAGTCCTCTAGAACTAATGGTATTATAATGCCATCTGCTTTAGAGGACTGCAAATCCCCGTAAACAGGTGCCACATGTTTTACAGGAAGGCTGGTGAGGTCCCCAGCAAGCCCTAGACCTCAGACAGCCAATTCAGTTTAAACATTTAAAGCTTGATATCGGCATTTGGTTTTTCGTATCGGCACTAACATTGGTATTGTTGCATCCCTACCATCTACCCTTGCTAGGATTTTAAGCACCTGTACTTTTGTTGGTGACATTTTGTCTTTGCTTTCTGTTTGGTATCTTGAAATTGTTTATTCTTGTCATTTTGCACACCCTGGCTTCTTTCTTTGGCTCCCATACTTAGCATTGTTTTTTAATCACCATTATTTGTCACTTTTTCTCACTCTAGTAGCTTTGTTTCTACTACTGCAATTACTAGCTCAAAGTGGTTCAAGTTACCCAACACTCTGGAATCATTTTTCTTTTTCTTACGATTGTTTAGTACTTTTGATTATACCTTCCTCCTTTCCTAATGCAAGGAATTGCTAGTCTAGAGTTGTTTACTCTCATGCTATGTATTATACTAGTTAGCCACACTTCTCTTGAGGAACTTTTCTGCCTACTAGTCGACTGATTAGTTACTGCTATTGCTCTGAATATGGACAAGTGACTGCTATTACCTCTGAATATGGAACTGGCTTTATTGAGTCCTACAACAGCATTGATTGCTGTACTATCACTTTTGTTCAACTAAACACTTAAAGTTCCCCCTTTTCTATAAATAATTACTTGTGGAATCTCTTTGGTCACTTGTTAGGTTTAATATTCCTTGGGTTTTCTTAAACTGTAAAAAGGTGGATCTTTACAAGGAAATTGATACTAATGGACTTTCCCTCCTTTGCTTCCTGTTTACCCCTCCCGGGTTATCGATTGATTGCAAACTTCTTGGTATGCTTATTTATTTATTTCATGTAGTTGTTCCTCCAAGCTGTTTTATCTCCACTTAAGTTGGAAAGTCTCCTTGCTAATTACCAAATTGTCAGTTTGCACACCATTTTTATAACTCCCCTTGTTTTCACAGGGTGTTTGTTTTCCCCCCAATTACTATTCCAGATTTCATACACCATAAGCTTTCTAGTCCTGAAGCTGTCATTTTATCACCCTGATGCTGTTTCTCTATGGAAATTGGGTAATTCTTTATGTTTTTGTGAATAATGCCTTTTGAAGATACTTTTTTTTTTTTTTTTTTTTTTTTTCTGTTTACTGAGATGTACTACCTTTTCTACCCTTTTAGTACATATGTTATTCTAAGATGTTCTGGCCTGTAGCTCCTAGGTCTGCCTCACAGCTTTCTCCTTGGTTATTGCATTGATTTAATATGTTTTTTATCCCACATTGTTGGATCTCTTAGGGGATTTTATACCCTCCCTTTAGTTGGACTGTTTTTGAACTTCCCACATTTTTTATGTGGGGTGTTGTTTTGTTTGTTTTTTTTTGCTATTCCTATATCCGTCAATTGACTGTAAAGAAGAAACTTTGTAGTTTTGTGACCTTATATTTTGCTTGCTCACAGAACTGAAGCATTATGGTTGGAGGCAGAGTTATTCAGTGGGACATTGTTTTGCCAATGTCCAAAACCTCCTGGCAGCATCAATATAAACCAATTGTTTATCATGTTGTACTATTCCTGTGTCTCTCAATGTACTTCAAGAAAAAAAAAATACAGGAAGAACAAAAATTGTTTCCAAGAAGATATAAACATATAAATTGCCTGCCATGCTACTGCTAATAATTTTTATTGTGTGTTGTACAGTATAACTATAATATACACAGAAAATCACTGGGTTGATATGCTGCTTTCTTTCTATGTATGCTAAGTGCATTTAATTATATTTGTATCTGTTTTTCCTTAGAGGCAAAAGCTTCTTGAACAGATTGGTGATTCAAAGCTTCCATATGTTACTCCAAAAGATGAAACATTCTATCAGCTGGTATGTAACCTTTTTTTTAAAATGTATTATTCTTCTCAGCCAGTCCAGGGAATTCAACTTCATATGCTTCCTAGATTGGACCACTCTACATGGATATATTTAGGCAAAACAAAAATATTTCTCATTTGGCCATCTCTAAAATCCATGTAAATAAGTAGGGGCAAGGCTGTATTTAGCATTAGGTATGTGCCTAAGGATGCCTGGGTGCTACCTGCCTTTGTTTGTCCCTTCACAGCAGTGCCCATTCTTCTGAAAATGTACCTCACCTTGTATCCTCAACATTGAAATTACTCTGTATCTGTTATCCCCCGTCTCCACTCCCTATTGTGTTTTGTTACTGAACAAAGTTAATTGCCCTATGTCATGCCCATTCCTTTAGCCCTAACCAACTAACAAATAAATCACCACTCCTTGGGTTAACAAACCCCAAATCATGAAATTCCTACCTCCTAGTGCACACCCTCAGCCCATGCTGAACATGAAAGATGTGAGTTAATAGCAGGTGTCAGCTAAGGGAGCACCTTCTTAAATTTAGGAGCAGATATTAAAGTTTCTGAGGCAGTCACTGCACAAGGGGAGATGATGGCCCATGATTACACCATTGAACACCCTAGTTGCAGTTGCTGGCAAGTGTTCTATGGGAAGCTCTGATATCTGTTAATAATTGCAGGTTGCTCCCAGGAAAGGGCATGTATTAAAGGTTTAGCATGTCAGCATTCTGGTACCACATCAGCCCTCTTAGCATGTCAGTGCTCTAAGCCCATATGCATTATAAGTATGTAGTTAAACAATATACAGAGTTTAAGGCACAATAGGTTGTGCGCATTTTAGGCTCCTGATTTATAAATCCTGCCCTAACTGTGAGAGTGCAAAATTATATGGCAGCACATTTTTGATTGTCTCATTCGTGAGAGTGTGTAGTTGTTTTGTACAGCCCTAAGTCCCTGTTAACACCTTTGTGTTCCGTAAATCTGCATTTTGTTTGCATGCATTCACTTTTTCCTTGCGTTTGGCACATGTCACCCATTGATTTCAATTGGTGCTGCATGAGTGACACACATGGTAAAGTCGCAAATCTGCTGCAGGCATACCAAATTTTTTACACCATGCGTTTGTGCATACTTGCAGCTCAATAATGCGCTGGAAGAGTACATGGTATCCCGATCATGTTTGGGGTAATGGCACAACAAACTTTTTGCATGTTTATCACACGTTGTGTCAACATGGGTCAATGCACGTGTTTGGTGCACATTCACGGAGTGCAAAAGTGTGAATTGGGACTTCAATTACATAATCGAGAGAAAAAAATGTAAATACATTTTAGTCAATAGTCACCTGCAAGTTTCACAGAAAAATTCTCCATGAGTTTGATTTCCTCCAGCACTAATGTTCTCCTATAGACATGGCAACTTCAAAGCTTGAATAAACATGGTGAAAACTAGGGATATTCAGATACCAAGTACATACTCGGGGCAAGTACAAGTACAGATACTTTTCCAGCTTCAAGACTACACTAGAGAAAAATCCAAAATGTAGGAGGCAGCTGTCATTTTTTTTTTCCAAAATAGTTTATTTAGGCTTAAACAAGGTCACCATGTGACCATAGGGATACAATACAGTACATACATTTATGTTTTGTTTTGTTTAGTGTTTTGCAGTATAGTGGCCAAGTCATGGGTGGCCCACATTTATCAAACAATATAACACGCAGATAAACATGACATTATGCAATCCAACATGGTCTTGTGTAAAGATATGTATACATATAGATATATATTAAGGTGAGGATTTGAAAGGGATGACCCAATACCGAGAGTTACATCACTCTGTTCGATGTTAAGGGAGTCCCTATACATTGATCTAGTTGCCCCCGAGCTATCAGGGGAGCGTGGAGGGAGTCCGCCAGTCTTTCGTAAATAGATTTCTGTCCACGTCCCCCTAGCAACTGCGATCGAGTCCTATTATCCTCCCAGTAATGGACATCATATCTCACTGGTTCTGCATGTTAAGTCAGATTCAAACAAGATAATCGACAGGATAAATTGATTGTGTTTTAAGTGACAGGGGAGCTTGGAGAGTCTAGTGTGGAGAATCGCCACCAGTGACCACAGAACTCACCCTCCAAGTCGGATTTCTCAAGTCGGATTTAAGAACGCTGACACACTGGCTGTCACAGTGTATAACACCACTTCATCTGGTGGGGGGGGGGG